TCTCTCCTTCCCAGCCGTAGATCTGTTTTTTTTTTTTTCTTTTCTTTCTTTTTTTTTTTTTTTTTTTTTTTTTAAGGCAGGCCCTCACTATGTAGCCCATACTGGCTTTGAACTCATGGCGATCCTCCTGCCTCAGCCTCCTGAGTGCTGGGATGACAGGTGTACCGGAACCATATCTGACATCTAGATCTGCTTTCTGTCCTTCCAGACCCTTCCCTCCAGAAAGCCGCAGAGACAGAACCCTCCAGTGCTGTGCTCCAGGCGGGCTTCCCTTTCCAGCCCCACCCCCCGTGCAGCCTCCCTGTCCTTCCAAAGTGCAGAGGAGCCCCCTGCCTCTGCCCCCAATCCTGACAGTCTGGACGAACAGGATGGATGGCTGTGGAGAGGCTTGCAGAACAGCCACCTGAGGGCTTGTCAACAGCGTGAATTCCTGGGGCTCTGGCCCAGACGGAGTCAGCGCCAGGAGGGGCCCAGGGAGCTGTTTTTCACACAAGCCCTGGGGACTTGGAGGCAAGAGGTCCCCAGCCACCTTTCCCGAAGCTGGCTTTCTGCACGCCTGCCACACCTGCTCAGGTCACCTGTGTGGCCTCGGTCCCTGCCGCGTCTCACCCCTCTGCCTCTGCAGACCGTGGCCCCTGCTGCGGCCGTGGGCGCTTGTCCCTGTCCCGGGAGCCCTCAGTTCCCGACCTGCGACCCCAGCCCCCTGGCACAGCAGCCAGCGCCTCTGAGGCACAAGTCCCATTTCCACAGAGAGGTCCTCCCGAGTCCCCGCGCGAGCCGCTCTCTGCAGGGCTGTCACCTGTCCTCCCTTGCTCGTGTGACTCTGGCACCGTCAGTGGCCCTGGCTGGGAGCAGGAGGCTAAGGGTGAGGCTGTTTCTGTTGCTGATCTCTGTATCGCTGGCACCAAGCGCAGGGTTGCCACACCGCGGGAGCGGAACCAACAGGTGCTTACGTGAATGTGCGCATTGTCTGCCGGTGCCTGCCCGGCTGCTGCGTGGCGCAGGTGACTGTCCCCCTCCCATCTCTTTGCTTTGGCCCAGCTCATCCTGGGTTTCCAGGGAGATTTCAGGAGAAAGTTTCAGCGGGAGCCACTCTTCTCGCCCTCCCCCACCGCACCCTCCTCTGCGCCGTTTGTTTTCTTAACTGTGCGCGCCTTAAGCGGGTGGTGGCTGCTGCCTTTGATCTCCGTCTTTCAGCCCCCTCCCCATCGTGTGTTTGCCGAAGGCGGAAGGACAAACCAGGGCACTGCTCTTCGGGGGTCCCCTATAGCTCTGTGCCCAGAGCGTCGTCCAACCCTGCCCAAGCTCTCGATTTTAGAGGGGCAGGTGCGACAGGACTTTGTTCAGCAGGGAAGGCGTCCCTGGGTGCCTCTGAGGGGCCGGGGTACAACCTGGGTGGCCAGACTGTGACGGGGGTCAAGGGGCAGAACAGGTAGCTGGGCACTTTTCTGCTGGACACTTTTCTGGTTTCGCAGCGAGCCCTTTGCCCTAGGGGCGGCATTCGGAGCTGCAGACGGGCCCCCTGGTTTGGCCAATGAACTTGGCAGCGCTGGGCGGGGCGTGAGGAAGAATGGGCGGGGCTAGCGGAGGGCGGGCGGGGCCACGTCCTGGTCTTCCCGCTCCGGGCCCGCCCCTCCCCAGGCACCTGCTGCGGAGGGGGTCCTGTGGGCGTGGTCGACAGCCGTCTCCGCCCCTCCTGCGCTCCTCCCCGCGCCGCCCGGCCCCGCCCCCACCTGCCCAGGATAATTTTAGTTTCCTTGGGCCTGGAATCTGGTCGCGCTGGGTTCCTGCCTCCTCCTGGCCTTCGGGTCCAGAGTGGGGCCGCCCTCCTCCCACCTGTAGAGAAGCGGGAGAGGATCAGGGATCCAAGCCAAGTCCTGCGGTCCAGGACAGAGCCAGACGTGGTCCTGCTGCTCCTGCGGGCTCCTGCAGGTAAGCATGGAGCTGGTCTCCACCGCCGCTTCTGCACCCCGCCGCCCGGGCCCCGGCGGAGCTGTCGCGGGCCAGGTTGCGGGGAGGGACGACAGGCGATCGGCAGGTCCCCCCTTCCCGCTCGGTGTTGCCGGGAGCAGGGAGCTAAGGGCCTGGCTCTTCCTCCTGCCAGGTGTGCGGCCGCCTGGTCCAGATGGGATCCGGGGCGCGCGCTCCTTGTTGCGGGTGCGGGACAGGTGGTGTCACCATGGAAGGACCGGGGTTCCCGTGTGTTCAGGCCGTCTCTCGCTTCCCCCTCCAGACCCATCCTCCCCTCCGCCAGGGTCCCCGAAGCCGTTTCCTGCCTCTCCACCCTCTCCTCCCATCCCCGGCTCTGCGGGATTAACCCGTGGGGACGGTTGAGGGCTCCGAGCTGCCCGCCAACTCCCGGAGCTGGAAAGGGTCTCTCAGCCCAGTTACCCCAACTAGGGCGCCCCAGTGGAAGACCCCTCCTTGCTGTGGCCCGGATCCCCTGCTGGATGGGAAGGTGGGGACGGGTGGCCCGGGTTCCCTGGCCGGGGAGGTGGGAGAGCGCGTGCGGGGCTGGGGTCCTCAGCGGGGCTGGGACAGCGAGTGGCCGGCAAGTGGCCTGTCTTGTCGAGGCCACGGAAGGTCTGCAGGCTGCACCTGGGTCCCCGGAGCGGGCTGGGGACAGAGAATGCACCCGGGCTTGGTCAAGTGCCCACACCCCTCTGCCCCCCACGAACACCCTTGGAGGCGCCTAGGCTGGACTCTGCTCTTCCATGTTCCCCTGATACCCTGCTAGGAGGGGGCCCTCCCCAAGGCAAAATAATGATTAACCCCACTGCGGGACTCCAGCATTCTTCCCAAATTAAACTGTGAAAGCGCTGCCCCCCCTTCTCCCATAGGGTGTCTTTTCCAGGCAGAGGGAGTAGGCGGGACTTCAGTGCCCGGGGCCCTCCCCCAACTCTGGGTCACCTCGGGGTTCCCCACCTCACCTGAGCCCTGCACCCTCAAAGGTTAGGCCTCTCCCCCACCGTAAGTCCTGGTGGGGACAAAGCAGGGTCCCCGCAGTCCAGGTTCCCCGGGCCGGCCGGCCCCGCCCCCACCCTGGAAGCCTGGAAGGTGGCCTTGTTTACCATTGGCCTCAAACACTGGGCCGCCACCCGCCCTTGGGGCAGCCAGGTGAGGGCGATTCAGGAAGTAAACAAGCTGGGAGGGTGGGAAGGAGGGCGCGGCTGGGGCCGGCGAGGCAGGCCGGGAAGCCAGGGTTGCAGTTGCGCTGTTAGGGGCTGGTGGACTGGCGGGGTCTGACTTAGGCGCGCGCACTTCCTCCTCCACTTCCAGTGCGCCCCATCGGTGGTCCCGGCGGGCCCTGCCTCCCTTCCCCAGCCCTCCCCAAAAGGAGAGGAGCAGGTGACTTGGATGGTGGGTGTGTCCCCCTTCCTGGAAGGGCCTGAGTCCCGCCTGCCCCCCGCTCTGGGGTCTTTTGCCGGGTCTGTCTGTGTCCTCAGGTGTTTGATTTTCCGGTCCTGCTGTACTGCTCCCTTTGGCCAGAACAACCAGAGAGGAACTCCATCCCGGGACAGACAGACTGAGCGGGTCCTGGGGCTGCGGCAGCAGAAGGAGCTAGCTGGGGCCCAGACTCAGGGTGGGGCTCTGCCTGGGGCTGGGGGACAGACAGAGGGGCCAGCTCCGCTCTGCCGGGGCTGCTGTCCGGGCCAGGCTGTCCTTACACTTCCCAGGTCCTGACTGCATAGTGGCTGTGTAGGGGCTCGGGACAGAGGGGTCCACGGAGTGCGGGTCCCTGGCCTGGAGCCTGGAGCTAGGCCAAGGGTGGGGAGGAGGAGGTGATGTCAGAGGCGCCTGGGACCCCAGCCCCCAGGCTGCAGTGGGTTGGGGGGAGAAGTTGTTTGTGTTTCTCCTAAACCAGGAAGCCCGGGATGAGTCAAGGTTGAATGGAGAGCCCCGGGCAGTGCTGTCCCGCCCCTCCCTGACTCACCTGTCCCCTCACTACAGGGTCAGATGCCTGCCCCGTCCTGGCAAGGGGGTCCCGGGTGCCCCGGCGGGCCTGGAGGTCCTGTCGGGTGCTGGGGTGGGTACCACCTCCAGGTCCTCCCAGGTCTCCGCTAAGCCTGTGGGCTGCTTGGCCTCTGGGGAGGAGGAACCCGTGCTGGGTGCCCATGGGCCTGTGGGTGGTAAGACCTGGGTGAGACTGGCCCTGCCTGGGGCACCGGGCACCCTCAGGCCGTGGGTAGGTGAGACTGCCGCACAGTACCGGGCACTGGGTTCAGTCTGAACCCAGGAAGGCTTCTTGGAGGTGGCCCTCACCCTGGCACTTCAAAGGGCTGGGCAGGGTCACGGGGCTGGGAGGGTACACAAGGCTTAGGCCTTCGCCTCCTGCCCTCCTGGTCATTGCCCTTTCCCGCTGCCCACAGTCCTGCACGCAGCACCACTCACTGCTTGGCTGGAGGGTGCCACAACAGGCTTGGCAACTGGGCCTGGCCTGGCAGGGGAGCGCTGGGAAACCCTGGGGCAGCCGCCAGTGCAGCGGGTGTCCTGAACTGCGAGGCAAGGTTGGCCTTAGCCTGGCCTGAGAGCCAAGCCCAGGGCGCGGGTCACAGAGCCTGAGGCTGTGCCTTGCTGGGGGTGCTTGGACCCTGTCTGGCTTCTGCCGAGCAGCCCTGGCTCAAGATGAGCACTGCGAGCAGAGTCCAAACGCCAGACTCACCGGTCGCTGTGGGCACAAGGGCTTCCCAGGGCATCAGTGTCCCCTTTTGTAAGAAGGGACTCATTCTGTACCCCAAGGACTCCGGAGATTCCAGGGAGATGGGGAGCGAGAGCCTGGCATGGTACAGCAGACACCTGACATCCCAGCACTCTGGAAGGCTGAGGCAGGAGGATTACAAGTTCTAGGCCAGCCTGGGCAATTTAGCAATTCAGTGAGACCCTGTCTCAAAATTTTTAAAAAATGGGCTGGGGATGCGGCTGAGTGCAAAAGCCCTGAGCTCAGTCCTCATTATCACAAAGGAAAAAAAGAGGGGAGCAGAAACAGCTCTTGGGGGCACCATGGCAGCTGTGTGGCTGGCGGTTCCTAGGACGAGGACTTCCTCTTCCTCCCCAGATGTCATGGAGCCGGACCTGTCTCTACCGCATCCCGGCAGCCCCCCAGAAGACCTGTGCCCAGCCCCTGGGACCCCACCTGGCACCCCCCCGCCCCCTGACGCCCCTCCGCCTGGGGAGGCCACGCGGTCCCAACCTCTGCCCATCCCAGCCAGCAGGTGCCGTGGGGTGACGGGGTGAGGGGGCGAGGGGGCAGAGAGGGGTTGGGTTTCGCACTGGCTGACAGAGCCCCCACCTCCCCGCCCAGGAAGCTTCCTGAGGAGGAACGCCGGGCCACCTCGCTGCCCTCCATCCCCAACCCCTTCCCTGAGCTCTGCAGCCCCCCATCGCACACCCCCATCCTTGGGGGGCCCTCCGGTGCCAGGGGACTGCTACCCCGAGATGCCAGCCGCCCCCACGTGAGTTGTCCCAGGGCAGGGAAGGGGGTGCGGTCCATCGGCGCCTCTGGGGTGCAGGGGGAAACACGTGGTTGGTGGGGAAGACCACCGTGCCCCTCCTCAGGTCCCCGCCGTTCTGCTCCTGGGTGCAGGTGGTGAAGGTGTACAGCGAGGACGGGGCCTGCCGCTCGGTGGAGGTGGCCGCGGGCGCCATAGCGCGCCACGTGTGTGAGATGCTGGTGCACTGCACGCAGGCCCTGAGTGACGAGAACTGGGGGCTGGTGGAGTGCCACCCCCACCTGGCCTTGGGTAAGAGGGGACACGGGGAGCTGTGGGAGGGGCCCCGCTGGAGGCCGGTGCACCGCCGGCAGCCCCGGCCCTGTGCCCTGACCGCAGAGCGTGGCTTGGAGGACCACGAGTCGGTGGTGGACGTGCAGGCGGCCTGGCCAGTGGGCGGAGACAGCCGCTTCGTCTTCCGGAAGAACTTCGCCAAGTACGAGCTGTTCAAGAGCTCCCCAGTGAGTTCCGGGCAGGCCGGACACCCTGAGCCCCGGTCCCGACCCCTGGAGCCCTGACCCCCGGCCCCTGTCTCCCCAGCACTCCCTGTTCCCAGAAAAGATGGTCTCCAGCTGCCTTGATGCACACACTGGCATGTCCCACGAAGACCTCATCCAGGTGAGGGGGTCCCCGGCACACCCGACTCTCCAGAGTCCCGCTTGCTTCTCCGCCCCAAGCCGGGTACTTTCCCTGACTGGACAAGTCAGGTTCAGGCTGCAGCCTCAGTTTTTTGCCTGTGAAATGGGGACAAGCAGGGTGTGGTGGTGCATGCCTGTGATCCCAGCACTCTGGGAGGCTGAGGCAGGAGTATTGAAAGTTCCTCCCCAAACTGCAATTTAGCAACTCAGTGAGATCCTGTGTCAAAATAAAAGATTTTAAAAGGGGTTTGGGGGGGTGTACCTTGATGTGCTCTCAGTTCAGTCCCCAGTACTGGAAAAAAATGGGGGACATCAGCACTGGTGGGGCAGCTCCTGCCAAAGGCCTGGCAGGGGCGTGGAGTAGGTCGGCCCTCACCCCCTGCCTCCCACCTGCCTTAGAACTTCCTGAACGCCGGGAGCTTCCCGGAGATCCAGGGCTTCCTGCAGCTGCGAGGCTCCGGCCGCAAGCTTTGGAAACGCTGCTTCTGCTTCCTGCGCCGCTCCGGCCTCTACCTCTCCACCAAGGGCACCTCGAAGGTGAGGTCCAGCTCTGTCCTCACTGGAACTCTGGACCTCAACCCCGGGGGTGACTGTGGGGAAGGCGGGTGGTCTCTTTCAGTTCCAGTCAGGCTTCCTCGCTCGCTGTGTTGCCTTGCACCTTTCCGGTTGGTCCTTCTCTGGTCCTGAGGTCTCCCCTGGCTTGAGAGCAGTGGTGGGAGGACAGGGTCTCCCTCTGCCAAGTCCCACACCCTCGTGCCGCTCAGGACCCCAGGCACCTGCAGTATGTGGCAGATGTGAATGAGTCCAACGTGTACGTGGTGACGCAGGGCCGCAAGCTGTACGGGCTGCCCACGGACTTCGGCTTTTGTGTCAAGGTGAGGACCTCTGGGCCTTGCCCGGCCCCGTGGGGAGAAGCGGGCAAGATCCAACCCAGGCCTTGGGCTGCACCTGGGCACTTCTCCCCGTGTGCGCCCTGTGCTGCGGGAGACTCCTGGGACTTCACGCCCCATGGGACGGGACAGGACGGGACAGACGCCTTCCTCAGGGCAGCGTCCATGGGACTTTCCTCTCCTGTCAGCCCAACAAGCTCCGGAACGGCCACAAGGGGCTCCGCATCTTCTGCAGCGAGGACGAGCAGAGCCGCACCTGCTGGCTGGCGGCCTTCCGCCTCTTCAAGGTGAGAGCCGGGGGTCCCCAGCGTGAGAGGTCACAGCAGTGCCACACCCAAGCCTCCCGATGAGGGCATCCCAGGCAGGCTCCTGAGAATCCCTGGAATCTTCCGGAAGCTCCTACCCACGGGCAGAGGGCCTTGCTCCTGGGGAGCCCTGGTCCCAGGGATGTCACAGCCCTGACCCCCTCTTCCCCTGCCTGTAGTTTGGGGTGCAGCTGTATAAGAATTACCAGCAGGCCCAGTCTCGATACCTGCGCCCATCCTTCTTGGGGTCCCAGCCCTTGGTGAGTACCCAGGGACTCGGGGGTGTGGGTACCCTGGCCCTGGCCCGGGGCCCCTTTCTGATCCCTGTCCTCCCTCTGCAGAGGAGCGTCTCAGATAACACCCTGGTGGCCATGGACTTCTCGGGCCACGCTGGGCGCGTCATCGAGAGCCCCCGGGAGGCTCTGAGTGCCGCCCTGGAGGAGGCCCAGGCCTGGAGGGTGAGGGGCTGCACCCAGCTGCGCGTCCCTGAGTGGGGACAGTGGGAGGGGAAACGGGGGCACCAGGGAGCACCCCCAAGCACGGCCTGACTCCCATGCCCCAACTCTGCAGAGAAAGACAAACCACCGCCTCAGCCTACCCACCCCATGCTCTGGCTCCAGCCTCAGTGCAGGTGGGTGACCATCTAGGGTCCCCAGGGTGGTGGCTGCCTCAGTTTCCCTGAGCATTCCTGCCAAGCATGGCGTCTCCAAGTGACAGTCTGTCTGCTTCCCCTCACCCCAGCCATCCACCGCACCCAGCCGTGGTTCCACGGACGCATTTCCCGCGAGGAGAGCCAGCGGCTCATCGGGCAGCAGGGCCTGGTGGACGGGTAAGGGGCAGGCTGGGCGGGCACAGGGCTGGGATGGAGGTGCCCTGGGGTGAGCGGGTGTCCCTGGCCGGTGTGGGTTCCTGGCTGCATGTCAGATGGAGACCAGACACTGGCTGGTTCTTGAGCCCGAGGACAACCGGTACCACGGTCCACTGCCCTGTTCAGAGCCTGCTAAAGGGCAGGGCCCCCCACTGGCCACCGAGATGGTACAGCCGGCTGTGGGTGCGGTGGCTCCGTTTGTGTAGGAGTCACGGATCGGCAGTGTGTAGCTCTTTCAGTGCTAGCGCTCTGGGCTCCGCGTGGTTTGCATGTCAGCTCTGTGCCGTCGTCCACCCCCTTTCCCGGCAGCCTGTTCCTGGTCCGGGAGAGCCAGCGGAACCCACAGGGCTTTGTCCTGTCCTTGTGCCACCTGCAGAAGGTCAAGCACTACCTCATCCTGCCGGTGAGCGAGCGGCTCTCCCTTCCCTGGGCACCCCGGTTCTCGAAGCGGGATGGAGGGTTCCTAGCAGTGGGGCCTCCCCCGCCCCCAACAGGAAGTTCCCCCGCTCCCTGGGCGGCCCCCTTCGGGTCCCCCTGACCTCCGCCCCTCTGCAGAGCGAGGGCGAAGGCTGCGTGTACTTCAGCATGGACGACGGCCAGACACGCTTCACGGACCTGCTGCAGCTCGTGGAGTTTCACCAGCTGAACCGCGGCATCCTGCCCTGCCTGCTGCGCCACTGCTGCACCCGCGTGGCCCTCTGATGGCCGCGTGTGCCATTCTGACGGCACCAGCCTCCCCAGTGCCGCCCTGCGTGGACTGGGGGTGCAGAGGGCGGGTTGGGGTGAGGAAGGATGGAGGGCCCCTCACTCCAATTTTCTCCTCTGCTCCACTGCCTCTGGCCTGCAGAAAGCACCCCCATTCCAGGAAGGCCTGCGTGTCCCTGTCCCCACCAGGGTGCCCAAGACAGGGGAAGGCCCGGTGGTCCCAGGTCGCACACCCATACAGACCGAAAGGCCAGTGATCTGCTCTTTTATACTTGTGACAAAACAATAAAGATTATTTTTTGATACTCCCATGAGTTCTGGCTGGCAAGACCTGGCTACTAGTGACAGGAGGGGGACCATGGCCAGGTGTGGTGGCACACACCTGTCATCCCAGCCCTTGGGAGGCTGAGGCAGGAGGATCGCTGTGAGTTCGAGGCCAGCCTGGGCTGCATAGCAGGCTCAAGGGCACCCTGGAATACACAGCAAGACTGCCTCAAAAATTAAAAAAAAAAGAGATCAGGTGGTAAAGGTGTCAGCTGAGCCCAGGTCACATCCTGACTGTCCTGAGTGTTGCTTGCTTTCATTTTGTGGGGCCAGAGGTGGTACTGAGGGCCTTGCACATGCTGGGTAAGTGCCCACCACCAAGCCACACCCCAGCCCTGGCTGGATGCCTCTGCAGGGCAGTGGTTCTCGGGCCACTAAGAGGCCCTGGGGCCCAGCGTGCAGCCTAACATAACCAGGTGCCCAGCAGTTGCTCATTAACAAATGGGCAAGGGACTGTCATCCAGGCACATTTCCAGGCAGAGCCTGGACCCTAGGAACTGGAGGACGCCTAGGGCCTAGGAACTGGAGACGCTGACAGCACCTTGTCCTCAGCAAGTGCTGTGCTGCGAAGTGGGACGGAGTCCTGTCAGGCACAGGCTGTACATCTACCATCGGGGCCGGGACGGCGGAGCGGCCCCTGATCTCCCACAAACCCCTGCACCACCTCCGGCCAACCCCTCTCCTCCCTAGCCGCAGATCTGCTTTCTGTCCTGCCGGACCTGCCAGCACCCGGCCGGCTTTACCCCACCAACCTCTGGCAGCTGCAGCCATCCATCCATCTGTCTGCAGCCATCTGTCCATCCGGAATGCAAAGGAACCCAGAGCCCTGCCATCCTGGGCAACTTAGCAGGAGACTGTCTCAAAAAAAAGGTAAAAAGGGGCTGGAGACAGCTCAGCGCTTCCAGGGTTCAGTCCTCAGTACTGATAATAAATAAATAAATAAATAGATAGATAGATAGATAGATAGAGCCTGAAGCCAGTTCCTCAGACCCAACTACGAGTTTACCTGAAACACAAGGAACAGCAGCACATGTGACAGGACACACGGGGGCACAATGACCAGAATCCAGACTGGGAGACTGTACAGCAGATGACCCAGTTTCTTCAACAAAATCACAAGCCGGCCAAGGATATGTTCAGTGGCACAAGCGCCTGCCTGGCAAGCACAGGGTCCTGAGTTCGATTCCCGGTACCAAAAAAAAAAAAAAAAAAAAATTACGAGAAAAGCAAAGCTGAGGAATGCTGAATGTCTAGATTCCAAGAAATTTAGGCAAATGTCAGCCCCGTGTGATGTGTGACCTCGTCTGATTCAAATCCAAACTGACTGTAAAATACAGTTGTGAGTAACTGGGGAAAACTCGAACTCATGAGCTGTTTCATGATTTTAAGGAATATGGTTAACTTTTTGAGATGTAAGAATGATATTGTGGTTATGGGTTGTTTTTTTTAAGCTTTTACATTTCAGAGACTCACTCTGGTCAGGCCGGGTGGTGCACGCCTGCAATCCCAGCGCTCTAGGAGGCTGAGGGAGGAGGATGGCAAGTTTGAGCCTGGCCTGGGTGATTTAGTAAGAACCTTTAGTAAAAACGCAAGTCTGAGATGTAGTTCAGCACAGAGGCCCCGGGTTCAATCCCCAGAGCCGCAGAACCCCAAAATGAGACATTCTTAAGTCCAGTAGGTGAAAACCTTGTGTCCCCTCTGTGAACCATGGTTGGGTCGGGCCCAGGGGACCGCGAGGACTTCTGCCTGGCTCTGAGTGGCACTCTGGACACTGCCACCCCTGTCCGGTTGGATGTGACTCAGGCCACCCTGGGAGCCCTCACGGCTGGTAGCAGGGTCCTCCCCAGAGCTCCCCTCCCTTCTGCAAGGTCCTGACCTCTGCTGTCAGGCTGTCCCGGGGTGACCTTGACAGCCCCAGCCACCACCTGCAGCTCCGGCCACTGCGTGAGCCCCAGAGCCAGGCCTGGTAGCCCCAGCAACCACCTGTGTCCTGGGCTCCTTGATCCGTGAATCCTGGCTTGGGGAGCTTGGAGCCAGGTGGAGTGGACAGAGGGGACCCCACACACTCCAGCAGAGCCAGCCGGGAACGACCTGAAAAAGCTGCGGCTGTCTGGCACAGCAAGGTGGCAGATTGCACATCCCTTTAGCAGGTCTGAGGCAGGGGCCAGGCGACCTTCTGCCTGTCACCTCCCCAGGCCCACCAATGGGTTCCTCAGGCACCGAGCTGGCTGGTGCTGGCTACTTGGCTGCCCACGGCTGCCCGGGGCTTCTGAGACACGGTGCAGGGTTCTGGGGTGGGGAGAGGAAGATGGGTCACTCCTAAGCGTGACCAGAGGTTTAGGCTGTACAGGAGACCCCAGTCCCTCACTGCCTTAGGCACTGGGCAGGGGACAGACGCCTTGCAGGTCAGTCAGTAAGTGGGGGTCTCTGGGTGACTCCTAGGCTTCCATTTCACAAATGGGAAACTGAGGCGCACAGTGAGATCCTCCTGGGGTCACAGGAGTTAGGACAGTGGGCTCAGGTGGCAGGAGGCGGAGGTGTCTCTCCCTCCCCTGCCCATGGCTCTCTGCCCACCAGGGGGGCCTGGGCAGCTGGCAGTCCTTACAGGAGGTGACACCGGCCCTGGCCTTGGCAGCTGGGCATCCGGGGAGAGTGGCTGAGGCTCCTGGCTTTTGGAGGAGATGCAGCAGGTGAGCGTGTGGGGCAAGGGGGCCCTGGGCCAGAGCTCAGCTGACAGCAGCGAGACCCAAGGCAGGCAGCAGAGGGGACTGTCGGGGGCGAGGCAGTGCTGATGCGGTTTGCGGGGAATCGGGGCAGACAGGCGGCTCGAGCCACTCCATTGGGGCCCCCCACTGGGTCCCCCAGGGTGCCAGTCGTGGAATGGGGCTCTGGGACCTTGGGGCTCAAGGGGAAGCTGTGTGGAGGACGGGATGGGCTCCTGGGGCCTGCCGAGTGTTCCCCCGCCTCTGGAGTCTGAGTTCTCACCTTCCAGGATCAGGTGCAAGTGGGCATTCCTACGGGCACGACTCCATTGTCCCGCAGGGGCCCAGGGCACCTTCTGCCTCCCCGGTCCTGGCCCACCGGCCCTCTTACGCCTACCATTCCCTGTGCAGGCTCCCGCCTGGCGTTTCCCCAAGCTGAGCCACCTGGCCACATCGCCAGGGAGGAGCGCGGGGTGCGGCTGGGGCAGCTACGGCAGCGCCACTCCAGACCCGTGAGGCTGCACCAGGAGGAAGGCGCGCCCAGAGCCGGGCAGTCAGGGCCGAGGCGCACCGTGATCTATGCCCTCCCCGCCGCCCTGTGCCCCAGCAACCCAAGCGTGGGCGCTGAGAACCTAGCTCTTTGTGGTTGACTTGGAACTTGCTGGCCTCGAATTTGGGATCCTCCTGCCTCAGCTTTCGAGTGCTGGGATTACCCGTGTGCGCCTCTGAACTCTGCCCAGAGAGATCCCTCGTAGGCACCGCTGGTCCCCAAGCCCGCGGAAGGGGCGGGCGTTCGCGGGGTGGGGGGCTGGAGGGAGGTCGGGCGTGGGGGCGGGGGACCCCGCTTTTCTCTAGGGCGCGCTGGGGCGAGACAGGAGTGGAGGAGCCGCGAGCGCCCGCAGCCGCGCGCCTGCAGCGACACCCAGCGGCCGGTGCGGGAAGCGCAGGGCTCGCTCGGCTTCCAGG